ATGTATTTCTAAAAACAGAGAACAGAGAATTTGATGTGAAAATACTGGCTATGAAACAGCTAAAAGCACCACAGTTATTTGTTGAAGCTAGGTAAGCTTCCATGAGTCATATATCTTCTCACATTAGCCATGAATACATAGCCCATTTCCTTAAAATTCAAAGGCCAGAGCATATACAGTTATTTGTTACAATAACTAAATTATAGATATCTATTGAAAATAATAGTAGTTGATGTTCAGAAGCATCAAAAACTATACAAATTTGTATTAACATTATTTTTCTGGAATCAAAAGGGACTACATATATATGTCTGACCTGATTTGAAAAACCATGTGGAAAGATTACTCAATATTCATGCTCAGGGGAGAAAAAACAGTTTCTAATTCCAGAAAGAGTATTAAAGAAAAGTTGGCTGAATGAAGGGAGATAAAGAATCTTTGGAAAATTTACTAGGCAGGCCATATTAACTTCATTGATGCAGAAAATGATTAGAGTTCATCGTCATTAGAGTTGAAGATCTAGCTCCCCCATTTGCTTGCTGAGTGCTCTCAGGCAAATCATATAACTGTTCTGTGTCTCAGCTCTCATATCTGTAAATGGAGTTGATATATGATCATTCTCTTTTCCAGTACCATTTCCTGCCCCCAAATTCAAACAAAATACTCTTTGGGCATGGCTTGCAAACTCGAAAAGTCTGTATAAATGTAAAGAGTTGTTATCATCAATCATATAATAATTGTTGCAGTTATTCAACACTTACCATGGATAGGTACTGTTTCAAGTGGTTTGCATGGAGTATCTTATTTAATTCTCAACAACAACTCCAATGAAGTAAGTACTATTATTCCCTGCATTTGACAGATGAAGAAACTCAGTCTCAGAAAGGTTAAGTAATTTGTGCAGGGTCTCATAGCTAGTAGATGCTAAAGCCAAGAACAAACCCCTAGCAGTCCTATTTAAAGCCTGTACTATTACAAAATACTGTAGTAGGAAGAGTGGCTGTGAAAGAATACTATGATAAAAATGCAATGGTTATTTGTAACTGTAAATACATACCTCATGTTCAGAAGGTCACAGTCCAAATGCTCTGCTGAAAGGGCAGAAGAGAGTATAATATTAACAAATATTTATTGGTTGGTAAGTTCCATTTCTATAAATTGGGACTAGTTAAAGCAAGTATTTCACTGATTTGTCAACTTAAACTAAAATTTTCAGATACATGAAGCATAAATCTCTGATGTGGGATGGGGTGGCGATGGGAGTCTAAACTAGTCAATGTATTTTTCTGCATTGCTATGGTGCTAACTTTTGCAATAATGGGAGTAACTTGGGAAAATGGAAATGTGCAGAAAACTCAGTAATACTATTTAAATTATTATCTTCAACTTATTTCCTTACCCAATCTGATAATCAGAGCTGTTAAAATGGAATTATCAATGTTTTCCTTTCTCTCTTTACACCCACAAGTATGGGGGTGCTTAAGTAACAGTGATATCTGTAATTGGCAAAAAGGAAATGGAACCTATCCAAAACAACCTGGATGATCTATAAACTCTACTAATAGTTCCTTTATTTTACATTACAGCTTCCTAACTAGCTATTTGTGTTCCTTTACATGGTGGTATATATTTTTGCCATTTATATTTATAGATTATCATTTGTAAATTCCTTTTCCCTGAATGGACTGCAGATCCCTTCAAATCTAAAGGGTAAAGGCTCTGGCATACCAAGACTACCATGCTGTGTCTATGGTCTTGATAAGAATTCTGAGTTACAGTATTTCCTAATTTGGCCCTTAATACCATGTCATACATACCTAGTTTATCAGCTACTTTTACTTATTTACTATATCATTGCCAGCAGCAGTTGTCATGCAGTAATCAGAAATATTCCACACTGGAAAGCAAGCCATTTTCACCTAGATTCCTTTGAATCATTGCAATCTTTTTTTTTTTTTTTTGGAGTTGGAGTCTCACTCGGTCACCCAGACTGGAGTGCAGTGGCCGCTCCCGGCCACCGCAGCCTCGCCTGCTGGGCTCCAGAGATCCTTCCGCATCAGCCTTCTGAGTAGCCGGAATTACAGTCATGCGCTACCATGCCCGACTGATTTTTTGATTTATTGTAGAGATGAGGTCTCACTGCCCAGGCGGGTCTTGAACCCGCAGGCTCAGGCGAATCATTGTAATCTTTAACTGACACTGAATTAATCTGCTCATATAATTACCTAAATCAAGATTGGATCCCAGTACATTTGCTTGATTTACCCCAAACTCAACAGATAATATTTTTCCTCCATGGAAAAAGTTAATTTGAGCCTGAGAATCCTCAACAGCCTTGAATATGAACATATAGATTACTTATGTAATTCTTTCATATTTCTAATATGCACACATATCAAAATATTGTCATCTTTTTGGTGTAATCAGTTCCAAAATGTTTCAGCATGAAATTCTCCATCATGAAGATAAACATGATATCTTTAAAAATAGAGAAACGCTTAAAATATTTGTGACATACTAACACGGAAGACAAGTGTTTATTGTTTTTCATCTATCTGAATTATTGTCTTGGAAAATTAATCATGGTTTTACAATTTTATTTCAATTGTAATGCAATTTAAAATGGAAAAATATTTTAAATTGCGGTTGAATCTATATGGTAAAAATATATAATCTGAATGTAGATGATTCATTCATTCACTTAACAACTGTTTATTGAGATCTTACTATGAATCAGAAACTGGTGCTAAACAAGACAGACATTTTAGAGGAGGGAAGTAATTAAATTAGCACATTTGGTTTATTTTTATTTTTTTAATTTTAAAGACGTGGGATACAACTCGGGTTTAGGCATACAAATGTTCATTATGCAGGCACCCTTGCTGATGAGGCGTGTCCCCCTCCTCCCCTGGCAGTTTCCCACTACTGCTAATCCTGCCCTACTCCACTGGCAGTTTCCCACTACTGCCAATCCCTTTCTTATACTATTATGATATTTTTAAAATTTTATTTTAAGGATGTGGGATATGATTCAGGATTAGGTATGTAAGTAGTCATTATACAGTTGAAGTTTGGGCCTCCCATTGATTCTCACTTCACCTGGCTTGGGATCATGTACCCTTATTGATGTTACGTGGTGCCCCCCTCCCTCCCCTGGCAGTGTCCCACTACTGCCAATCCCTTTCTTGTAGTATTATGATAAATGTTCAGGATCCACTTATGAGTGAGAACATGTGGTACTCAGTTCTTTGTCCCTGTGATAGATCACTGAGTATGATAGACTCTAATTCCATCTAAGTTGCCAGGATCTACAGGGAACTGAAACGTCCCAAAAGGAAAAAAAAAATAAATAAATAAAATAAACAGCTCTATTAAAAAGTGGGCAAAGACATGAATAGACATTTCTCAAAAGAAGACATTATGAGCAGCCAACAGATACACGAGAAAATGCTCAGCCTCACTAATCATCAAAGAAATGCAAATCAAAACCACACTGAGATACTACTTAACTCCAGTCAGGGTGGCCATCATTAATAACTCAAAAAACAACAGATACTGGAAAGGGTGTGGAGAAAAGCTAACACTGCTACACTGTTGGTGGGAGTGTAAATTAGTACAACCTCTGTGTAAAACAGTGTGGTGATTTCTAAAAGACCTAAATATCGACCTTCCATACTACCTAGCAATTTCCCTTCTGGGAATATACCTGGAGGAAATCAAATCATTCCCCATTTGGGTTTGACTCCAAATATGTAGGATTTTAATATAGACTACTGGGGGTGGGAGTTAGGGACAGAGAGAAGAAAAAGTTAAACAACATAATAAGGAAACAGGCGGACAAATCTAGAATATGGGAGATTCCATTAAACAAAGAGCTGGTCTCTCCTAAAAATCAATATCACTGAAAAAAAAAAAGAGGTTGTTTTAGGAAAAATATATTTCAAGAGACATAATAAATGCCATGTGTGCACCTTGATTTAATCTTGGTTCAATAAAACACTTGTATAGGAGGCTTCTTTTTATAGAAATGGAATGCTCTAAAATTAGATTAAGATGATGGCTGTATAACTTTTGTAATGAACTGTACATTTAAAATGAATAATTATGACAGTATGAAAAATTATACCACAATAAAGCTGTTAAAAGCGTGAGGGGAGGTATCTAGGAGATCTAATATTGATTAGGAATTCAGTGATAAAAAATTAATTTTAAGAAGTTTAAAGATTACAGTATTGAAATTATTGAAAATATCCTTTTTATTAGTCAATTTATGTTGAAATATTTGCATATAAAGCATCATGAGATCTGCAACTTACTTTCAAATTATGCAGCAAACAGAGAAAGCAAATAAATCAAAATGATATAAGTTCTTGACTCTAAATTATGGGCATATAGGTGTTTACTATAATAGTCTTTTACATTTTCAAGTACTTCATAGTAAAATGTAGAAAATATTTTTTGCAAGAACTATGAGTACTTTCCCTAAGTGCAACCTGAATATCATTTATTTAGAGAAATTTTTTTGATGTCCTTGAAAAAGTTATGTTGATAATTATTTGTTTAATACCATTCCTTCCACTATATATTATGGGTTCTTTAAAGGAAAGGATTCATATCTATCACTGATGGAGAGCTCACCACTGAGGCTTTCAAAAAATTCAGTAAACAAGATATTATTTATTTCACTTATTAAACCAACAGAAACCACCTCTCTTAACCCCTTTTCCTCTATCATCTATTACTCAATTTATCTGCTTCCCTGTTTAGCAAAACTCCTGAAAAGACCTGTTTATACACAGTTTTCAACTCCTCTCCTCTCTTGCACTCACACCAAAAGGGCTTTTACCTCAATCACTCAATGTGAACTTTTCTTGTCCAGGTTATTAATGACCTCCATGTAACTAAATCTAACGATCAATGATCATTCTTCATTTTAACCTCATCGGTCAGCATCACTTGACAGAATGGATCACTCCCTCCTCCTGAAACCAAACACTTACCTCAGTTGGCTTGCAGGATAACACACTCTCTTGGTTTCCCTTTCACCTTTCCAGCTGCCTCTTTTCAGTTTTCAGGTTCTTCCACTTTGATCGGAGATAAATGAGAAATGAGATAATTTTTGTTAAATTTCTTACACTAGTTTGGCAGTAAGTTTTAGGTTATAAAAGTAAAACTTAAAGTAATAAAAAAAGTAAACAAATTTAAAGGACACTGACCAGGGCAAAAGGCTCTTTTATTCAGGCAAACTAATCACCAACCTTAGAAGGTTATGATTAGCACCTTTTTACCATCATAGTTATGTGTTTAATTGTAAATAAGTATCTACCACAAATATCTAGAGATTACTTCTTGCTCTCCCACTTTACCCATAATCATTTACTTAATGTAATCTTTCTTTGTTGTCCATTGAGACCCTTCTACTCTCAATTTGATCATTGTTCTAAAACCCAATCTGGTTAAACAAAATTCTGTCTTATTACCTACACTCCTAGTTTATATCTCTATAATGCATTAGACTTAATGTAATTTTAAACTAGTAGTATCAGGGTAATTTTTACAAAATAATTTACTCACCCTAAGCAATTTAATAAATAAATTCATCTTCTATGTTCCTTGGTGTTCCTAAACTTTGATTGCCAACAAGATTGATCAACATAAAATTTTCTGATAGCAATAGTAGGTATTCCTTTAACACAGGAATTCAAAGCATGATCACTGGATGTTGAAGTTATCCAGGTTCTCCTTTTTTCTAACCACATTGTTCGTATGAGCCCTGATTTTCTTCATTCATATACCATTCTTAACCAACTTCCAGCTCTTACTTATTCCTCCCCCTATGTCCTGAATCCTCTTCCAACTGTATATCCTTGATTAAATAATTGCTCATTTCCTGAGCAAGCTTGAAAATTTTTTTATCAGAGAAGTTCTAAGGGCAGCAATCTGGGTCTAGAAGAAAGGACACATAAAGTTTCACTTCCATAGGAGATGCATTGCTTTTACTAAGATTGTTTTGAAGTAGCTATAAGGAGATGATGTCAATTCAGAGGGGATACTGTCTCCCAAGCTACTCTTTGGCACGCCACTTAGCTATTTGCTTCTGCTATGGAACGGGGAGGAATGCTCCAGAGGACTTTATTTTCTGTTCTTCACCTCAACAGTAAATGGTGAGGTGAAGCTGGCAGCTATTTTCATTTCCCAGCACTGCCCCAAATAAGTTTTCCTGATAAAAGCTGCTGTGTATGTCGTCAATGCTCCTTCTGATCTGAATACCAGTTTTGACCAATTAGAGGACTAGAACTTGTTACTATGTTATCCATTCAGCCAGTTAACAGAAATCTAAGAGAAACCAATAAAATTGTTCCCAGCTGTAAACAAACCTTTTAAGAATCACAGGATTATTTAAAGATAGCAAAATTTTCTTTTGAAGAATAGTGCTGCTCAAGGTATAACTCATTAACTCTCAGGATCAGAATCACATAGGGTGATTTTTTTTTTTTTTTTGAGTTGGCGTCTCACTCTGTCGCCCAGACTGGAGTGCAGTGGTCGCTCCCAGCCACTGCAGCCTCGACCTGCTGGGCTCTGGCGATCCTTCCGCCTCAGCCTTCCAAGTAGCTGGAACTACAGGCACGCGCTACCATGCCCGGCTAATTTTTTTATTTATTGTAGAGATGTGGTCTCGCCAAGTTGCCCAGGCAGGTCTCGAACCCGAGGACTCAAGCAATCCACTCACCTCAGCCTCCCAAAGCGCGGGATTACAGCTGAGCCACCGAGTCCGGCTTATAGGGTGATTTTTTAAAGGCAGATTCTAGTGCTTCATCCCAGACCAAGTGGATCAGAATCTCTGGGAGTAAAACCTAGGAACTAAAAATATTTCCTCAGGTGATTATGGTAGAAACTAAAGTTTGAATACCACTGTCATAAGAAAAACATAATCAAAAACGAATACTACATGCCCTTCCATATAGACATAATATTTGCTTCCTTCCATGTAGCTATAATCTACAGTTGTCAGTGTGCCCCAGCACCAAGATTAGTGAGGCTAATTCACACTAGCTAAAGTCACAAGATAACAAAATATAGATCAGAAAGTCAATCTATTAGCTTGTAATGGGGAATACTGCAAACACAGGAATGTTCAATTTGATAACCAGTATATTCTACCTCTATTAGAGAATATACATACACAACCAAATTATAATCAGAGATTTCCTTGGTGATTTTGGAATCATTAAAAAGGGAGTCAGTAGATGTTCTTAATGATCACTGTTTTAAGGTTTAATCTTATGTATTTACCTATCTCCACCACTGAGATGGAGACTAGAGTATTCCAATCTTAACCAGGACACTCTCTTTCCTGGATAGTGCTGGAAACCCACAACTAGCTCTCTGATTTTCTCAAATGCAGCACTTTATTTCTGATAATGCAGTGTCCTGTTAAATGATTACATTTTACTTTGACAATGTATAATCATCATCTGTCCTTGCTTCCCTGTGACTAAAAAGAAATTCTAGGTGTTTCTGAACTGAATTATCTACTCACCAACTATCTCTTGGGTTAATTTTGCAGATAGGTTATCTCACTGGGAATTTTTATTTTTCCTAATTTCACCTTGAATTTCTAGCCCCTTTGTATTGATTTGACATTATACTTTAAAATTTAAAAACATAAGCCATTAACTTTTAAAGAATTCTTAAGTGTGTTTATTAATGGTAAAAGTATCATGGCATAAGTTTTCCATTATGCCATAGTAATTGGATAATATTTTCAAAATATTTTACTGTGTCAAAAGATATTCCAAATGAAATTATTATAAACAACAATAATCTTTTTCACAAGATGTTCAGTCACATTGGCATTTTCTTTCTTCCTTTTTTTTTTTTTTTTTTGCATTCTCTTTATCTTACCCCCACCTTCTTTTTTTTTTGAAGTCACACTCTGTCACCCAGACTGGAGTGCAGTGGCCACTACCGGCCACTGCAGCCTTGACCTGCTGAGCTCCGGCGATCCTTCTGCCTCAGCCTTCCAAGTAGCTGGAACTACAGGCGTGCACTACAATGCCCGACTAATTTTTGATTTATTGTAGAGATGAGGTCTTGCCAAGTTGCCCAGGTGGGTCTCGAACCCGCGGGCTCAGGCAATCCACTCACCTCAGCCTCCCAAAGCGCTGGGATTACAGGCTGAGTCACTGAGCCCGGTTACCCCCACCTTCTAAAGTAAGATGATCCCTGTTCTGCCAACCCAGTGCTATTTTTCTCCGTGGTCACCCATTCATTCTGTTTTCTAAAAAAATGATCTGCTTTTTTAAAAGATCCAAAATATAGGCATTTTTATTGTGCTGGATAATATTCAACATTTGGATTTTAATGAAGATTACATTCATAATCCATTTATCTAGGTAATTCTTTTTTTTTTTTTTTGCAGAAAACAAAGGTGGTTGGTTATTTTATTAGAAAACAAAGGCCACATTTTAATACAACAGCACCAGATATGAGAATGCATACCAAAGAACTAAGAAATTGGTATTCAAAAAGAAAAGCACAATGACAGAAAACACGATCTTCTACATCTTAAGGAGTCTACAACCAGACTAATTGGAAATAAACGCACACCTCCCACCACTCCCACATACACATATGTACAAGTTACATAAGCAAAGATTTATAAAACACAATGGAAGAGAAAGACAAACACACCCACATAGATATGTGTGCATGTTTTCCTTAAAAAGATGTTACATTATTTTCCTTCATTTACTCAACTCAACGAAATTCTTCATCTAAAACTATTTCATAGCTAACACAACAGATAGGAAGTATCATAAAGTAAAAGTTTACATTTTCCTGGGAGCTGTTAATTGGAAGTATAAAATGTGTTTTGCATTATTTAGTGAAAATTCACATACAAATAGAAGACGTTACATAATGCTCGCTATTTTAATTGTAACTATCAAAAACTTCTATACAGTACTATTTACATTAAAGCAGAGGAATATCAATGCTGAAGAGGTGATCGGTGCTTCCAGACTTTTTCAATACTTATACAAAGGAGATCTAAAGAAGACAATATATTTAGATTTATAAGAAATGGTTTTCTCCCCACTGATAAAGTGCTCCCTGACTAAAGAGGAGTCCTACACTGTAGGCAGACTCTTATTAGTTCAGGCCTTTTACACTGTGGAACTACTTCAAAAGAGCAACTTGAAGGAAGCAAATGTTAACTTTGTTGTTATTTTGAAGTCACAAAATTTTGTTATAAAACTTTTGTAAGAAGCATTAGTTATAAAAGGCAATGATGGTAAAATTAGCACTAAATTACTTACATGTATGCTACATTGAAAAGGGCTTTGGACTTTAAAAAGGGTTCTTCTAGACATGCATGTTTACCACCCCCAAATATAAAATAAAAATAGAAAAAAATGGGCTCTAATGTTGCATCTCACATATACTAGTTGTACAACTATAGGCTGATCTTGTAGCCTCTATTAGTCTAGTCTTCGCACTGACAAAATGAGAAAAGTTGTCTCTGTCTATTTTATATTTTTTTTGTGAAAATCAAACATAGTACTATATGCAAACATATTGCAAAAGGGTAAATGTTTCATACTGACGTGATTTCATATTGTTAGGATTATTAATATTAAGAATTATTATAATGTCATAAGAACATATGTTAATGAGGAGACCGTATGACTCTATTTTAAAAAAAATTCCAAAGCAACTTTTGAATTAAATAATATATATTTCAATGACATTGTACACGTGCGTGCATGTGCGCGCACACACAGATAAACTTTTAAGAGGATCATATAAATAACAGATTGATATACTAATGCTGTGTACTAGGTATGGTCAACTTGCATACATATTATTATTTAATCTTTTCTCTGTTTAGTCCATCTTCCATACTGTCAACTGTAGTTCTTACCTTAAAAAAAAAAAAAAAAAAAACCTGATTTGGTCACTTCTTGATGTTTATTTAATTAAATTCAAATTCATTAGCTTAGCAGAAAGACCCTGGCCTCAACCTGTTTCTCCAAACTCATTACCCCTTAACTTCCCCCCCATTCTCTTTGCTTCCTCTACC